AGTCTCTTAAATAGCACCTTCTCAGAGTGGATCAACCAGTTTGCTGCTGACAACCAAAACCAACAACAACAGCAGCAAAACTGGTTGATCCACTCTGAGAAGGGGCTATTTAAGAGACTGAGCTGAAAACAGCACCTCAGACTGAGGAAGTCTCTCGGATGAGAGACGAAACGTTTCTACATTTTCATCCATCCATCCATTATCTTTTCCCACTTATTCCATTTTGGGTCACGAGGGTCGCTGGTGCCCATGTCCAGCAATCACTGTGCGAGGGGCGGGGTACACCCTGGACAGGTCGCAAGTCCATCACAGGGACACATAGAGACAAACAACCATTCACTCTCTCACTCACACCTAGGGACAATTTAGAGTTACCAATCAGCCTAACATGCATGTTTTTGGTCTGTGGGAGGAAACTGGAGCACCCGGAGAAAACCCACGCATGCACGAAGAGAACATGCAAACTCCACCCAGAAAGGCCCCTGGACCGGGGTTTGAACCAGGGACTTGCTCGCTGAGAGGCAGCAGCTCTACCAGTTGCGCCACCGTGCTGTCCGTTTCTACATTTTTTTGCTTTGTTTTGTTTTTTTTGTTTTTTTTGAATGTCCAGAGGACCAGATTGAACTTTTTTGGATTTTTTACCTGGATTATTGAGCATGCATCAGGATATTTAATGAACTACTATTATTCTTCCTTCCTTCTTTTGGCTGCTCCCTCCTGCAGGGGTTGCCACAGAAAGTTAACCTGCACAAAAGATTTGGCAATCGGATGCCCTTCCTGATACAACCTGGGTTCAAACCTGCAGCCTCAGGATTGCAAAATTACAACACTGACTACTGAGATACTGCAATCATCCTAATAAATTACAATCATGGAAGTGATTTAGCAACTATAGTGCAACTATTGTTGCTGCTAAATATGAGCAAACCAAAGATTTCACTACTGTAAAATACATAATGCCCTTACAAAAGGAGAGGCGTGCCTCAAACTGGCCTGCCAAGTAAACATTATCTCTTTGTTCTGGCACAATTAGTTAACTTTAAAATAAAATTTAAACCATCTATTTTGAGAAGAAAAAAACTAATTATGTTTATATAAAAACGTTACACCTTAATTACTTAATTTTTTTTTGCCACATACAGGTAATATTTCCTCATGTCTGGTAGGAGAGGAGTAAACCAATGTGTTGTTGAAGTTCAGGGTTCTACACAGCATCTTAGCTGTTCTGAGGACTGCACTCCTTTAAGTAAAGATCTTTGGAGTTGTTCCTGTTGTAGCCATTCATCCTGATTGGGGGTGACAGCCCAGAGGGCCTTAATGACTATTGGCATGACCAAAACATTTACTCTCTACAATTTTTCTGCTTTCTCTTTCATGAGCTTCACATGTCTGTTATTCTTGATAATATAATTTTCTTTCATTTGTAATTTCTAGTAAATGGGAGAATAACAAACACAATGTAAATCTTAATTTGTTGATTAATTAATGGATAAGCATTTATTTGTTTATCAATATTTTATATTTGTTTATTTGTAAATTATTATCATTAATATAAAATGCTTATTTTGCAGTAGAAAGACACTGTCATGTCTAAGTCTGGCTAAGGTTCACCTTACCTTCCATCTCAACTAAAGAGACTAACCATGTTTGAGCTGTACAGATTACTAGGGGCACTGGAAAAGTGTTAATCACCTGCACTCTAACAGAATTACAGGTGGATATCAAGGGTTTTACGACTTGATACAAATCATGTAAGACAGTGTAAGGAGGTTAGTAGAAATATACTGTAGGAACACATCATTTTCCCTCTTCTCTTAGTCACCCTGATCTATTCTAAAACAAGCCTCTGTCAACGTAAAGAACATACCAAATGCCAAATCTGGTGGTAATCTGTCTTCACAGTGTCAGACCCTGTAATGGAGTGTCTGTTCCCAAACAAGACAGAACTCAAAAACTTCTTAAATTATTTTAAATATTAAAAGTGAGTTACTTTCGTTACTTTGCAACAAAAAACTCCTTTTTTGTTGGTAACTCATCTAAGCAAACTTATTCACTTACAAAACAGAGCTACAGTCTGAAGCCTAAAAATTATGCGGCCATTACATGTACATACCATAGAGTTAAATAAGACAACTAGAGGGTGCATTGGTCACATGATGTGATTCACTGGAGACATGGGAGCCATAACCAGAGGGCAAGCATCTGGACTTAGCATTGTTGCAGATATTGCTGGCAAATAATAATGATAATATTAATGTAAATATAAATAGTAGAATATGTATAAACTAATGTATATAAAAATGTAAAAATGCCACAAAGCAGGATGCTATGGTTGTACTAACCAAATAGAAAAAGGATAATGTACCTCATTTCACAAGTAAGCAGATTTTATCTTATTTACCTCAATGTGAATGTGATCCAACCATAACTGAAACAAATGACTTCTTCTTCCAGCTTTTTCCTCTTCAGGAGTCTCCACAGCGAGTCATCCTCCTCCATCTCACTCTGTCCTCTGTATCCTCTGTCCTCACTCCAACGACCACTATGTCCTCTCTAACTGCAACCATATATCTTCTCTTTGGCCTTTCTCTTTGTCTTTTTCTTCTGGCAGCTGCATTTCTAACATCTTTCTACCAATATACCCACTGTCTCGCCTCTGGACATGTCCAAACCATCTCAGTCTGGCCTCTCTAACTTTATCTCCCAGTTAATCGACCTGTGCTGTACCTCTGATGATCTCATTCCTAATCTTATCCATACTTGTCACTCCTAAGGAGAACCTCAACATCTTAATTTCCACCACTTCCAGTTCTTTCTTCTGTATTTTTGTCATTGCCACTGTCTCCAGACCATACAACATAGTTGGTCTCACGTCTGTCTTGTAAACCTTGCCTTTGACCTTTGCTGCCACCTTTTTGTTGCAAATCACTCCTGAAAAAATTCTCCATCCACTCCATCCTGCCTGGACTGTCTTTTTCACTTCTTTCTCACATTCCCCATTTTCCTGGACAGTGGACCCCAAGAACTTGAAGTCCTGCACCTTTGTGACCTCTGCTCCTTATAGTCTCACTGTTCCACTGAACTCCCTCTCATTCACACTACAGCTGACTTTCATTCCTCTTCTTTCAAGTGCATAGCATCACCTCTCCAAGTTCTCTTCCACCTGTTCCCCCCACAGATCACAATGTCATCTGCAAACATCATAGTCCATGGGGATGCCTGCCTGACCTCATCTGTTAGTCAGTCATCACCAGAGCAAAAAAAGAAGGGGTTCAGAGCTGATCCTTGATGCACTCCCACCTCTACCCTGAAGCTATATGTCACTCCTACAGCACATCGCACAACTGTCCTGCTGTCCTCATATATGTCCTGTACCAGTCCTCTCCAGATTTCTTCATGCAATATCACACCTCCTCCCTCAGCACCCTGTTATATGCTTTTTCTAAATCCATAAAGACACAATGGAGTTCTTTCTGACCTTATCTGTACTTCTCCATCAGCATTCTCAAAGCAAAGATGGCATCTGTGGTGCTCTTTCTTGACATGAAACCATACTACTGCTCACAAATAGTCACCTCTCGTCTAAGTTTTATGGGGGAGTGACCTTTTCCACCCACATTTTGATGTTGATGGTACCGAGAGGTGAACCTGCGACTTTCTGATCACAGGGCCATCTTCTCTAACCTCTGCGCCACCAACATCAAAATGTGGGTGGAAAAGGTGAAACACCCACACCTGCCTCCACCCTCATTCACCCCACTCTGGGCCCCTGAGCAAGGTCCTTAACCTCCTCCATTTGCTCCCTAAAACAGGTCTCTCTTGAAAACGATTTCTCGTGGCTCAATGAAACTACCTGTTTAAATAAAGTTTAAATGAAAAAAAAAAGTCTTGCTTCCACAACTCTCTCCCAGCTCTTCATTATTTGGCTCATTTACTTAATTCTCCTATAGTTGCTACAACTTTGTAG